TGGGAAATTTGGCCAGGACACCAGGGTACACCCCTACTCTTTTCGAGAAGCACCCTGGGATTTTTAATGACCACAGAGAGTCAGGACCTCGGTTTTATGTCTCATCTGAAGGACGGCGCCTGTTTTACAGTATAGTGTCCCCGTCACTATACTGGGGCATTAGGACCCACATGGACTGCAGGGTGAGCGCAACACCTCTTCCAGCAGTAACCTTAGTTTTTCCCAGGAGGTCTCCCATCCAGGTACTGACCAGGCTCACACCTGCTGAGCTTCAGTGGGGTGCCAGTTGTGAGTTGCAGGGTGATATGGCTGCTGGCTTAACCCCGATTTGCGTGCCTGATGTTTTTTACAGTGGAATTCCGGAAACTCGCAAATCTGGGTTTGAAACCATGAGCTCCGTGGCTGTGCTGACACCGGAGAGCTTCGCCGAGCACCGCAGTGGGCTGAGGGACGAGGAGATCGCAGGTACGGAGGGAGCAGGGACGCGCTCAGGGTTCGGGAGGGTCCGCCTCCTGCTGGGTGAATTTGTTTTTTGTCCTTCCCAAAATGTTTATACATTTTCACATGATAAATATATCATACATCATACCATATAAATGATAGATTTTCTGAAATACCCCTGGCTGTGCTCTTCAGAGGCTGGATCCAAAATGTGAAATTCACAACACCCACTCAAGGAACATAGACGAACCGTGCCATCATTCCTTCAACTAGGACTCCCAGCAGATCTTTTTTTTTTTTAATTCCTAAGAAATATTTTGCTGTATAAATCATAAAAAAGAATGTGTAAAATGTGGAAGGGAGCGACTGAATGTCAAAGGAGTGGTGCTCGAGCAGGGCTGTAGATCAGTGAGAACAGTATAAGAGCACTGAGTAAATGTGAGGAGGACATTAGTCGTTCGTGTTTGGATTTTGGTAAATGATTGATCGGAGGATCTTATCCAGCTGTTTCTTCAAAGACGGTTCAGCAACATGGGGGAGCAGCTTGTTCCACTCCACTTGTTTTTATTACACCACAGCCCTTTGTGTAAAAGAGTGCCTGCCCTGTTCAGGTTGTGTTTCACCGGCTTTGTCAGTGCCTTGGAGGGGTTTGAATGGGGTCATTTATCTTCTCTGTTCAAGACGAAAAAGATGCAGCTTCAGGTTTTATTGGGCCCCTGAATGCATCTGGTTGCTGTTCCTCAGATTAATTCCAGATCCAGGATTTGATTGTGTACTTTACTGTACATGGTATTTTAAGTGATATCTTATTACAGTATTTTGGCATTTATGACAGTCCTTAATTTAAATTCTTCATTTTTAAATCCCTACGTCAAATGTTATTGATGCATCACGTTGTCTCAGTAATTGTATCAAAATTGTATTTTGTGAAGTCTAGCTTCTTGAAGCTCAGTGATTCCCACCTATTTGAGTGTTCAGCCTTCAGCTGCTCTCTGGTTTTGTCTATTAAGCAGTTCTCAGTCTGCACCATCAGTCTTCATGCGGTGTTTCATTCCATTTAATCCTTGACTATGCAGCTTCAGTTGGAGGGTAAACTAACTTCGGGTCAGTTGCAGCAGTGTTCATATTGGACTACTAGGGCAAAGATTTCCCCTCTCATTCCGAAGCAGACATTGGCTCTCTGCAACAGCGGACACAGGCCCGTCAGTGAAGTCTTGCCTTCTGTTCAAGCAGGGGGCGCCCCAGAGGATGAGGCTTATATCCCCACCTACCTGGAGGCCTTCCCCCCCCTGCCTGAGAAAGGGGCGCCGGGGGAGAAGTCCAACGAGCCCTCGGGGGCCTGGAGCAAGATCCGGCCCATCAAGTCCTCCGTCATCACCCAGGTACGGGCCAGAGGGCGCGTGTTCACCTCAGGAGTGCCATGTCGTCACCTGACATGCAGCCTAAGTTAGAAGTCTACAGTAGTTCATATGGAAACTTGAAAAAATATCCTGCCTTTTCTTCAGAAATGACATTCACAATCTGCCTTTACCCAGTCTAGTTTAAATTGACTGTGGTTATCCAAACAAAGCAGGGCTCCCCAATCCTATTCCTGGTTTCCAGTCATGGATTCAATGATGCAACAGAAGCAGGGGGTGCTTCTGTTGCATCATTGAATCCATGACTTGAAACCTTTTGCAAATCTTTAGGCCTGTTAAAATGTACATCTGAATTTTGATTAACTAAAAATCTAAGCAGTGTAAGTGTAAAAACAATTTCAAAAGAATCAAATGATTTTCTCGATTAACTGAGGGGAAGCAGACACTGGGGTACCCGGGACTGGGAAGTCCTGAAATGCAGGTTCATAGAAAGTGAAACACAGTAGGGTTTGGGATGAAGATGAGTCCTTTGTGGGTGCTGTAATGCCCTTGAAGTTTCCTATGTGGTCCTGAGGTGCACAGTAACCCACCTGCTTTCACCCCAATTCGGTCAGGTGTTTCACGTCCCTCTGGAGGAGCGCAGGTACAAGGACAACAGCCAGTTTGGAGAAGGCGAGGAGGCCAAGGTGTGCCTGGACATCATGCAGAAGACGGGGGCTCACATCGAGCTGTCCCTGGCCAAGGACCAGGGGCTGTCCATCATGGTGACCGGCAAGCTGGACTCCGTCATGAAAGCCCGCAAGGAGATCGTCGCTCGGCTTCAGACCCAGGTGACTTGACGTCTGTGGAGGGGAGGAAGATTACTGAATCGTTACGCAGAAGGCTGGCCCCGGGCATTTTCTGTTGTTTTTTTTCTATTTTTCTCTGATTTTAGCAAAATTAGTACTGCTGTGCAGTTGACATATTTCTGGAAATACCAGTGCCTTATGTAGAATTAAGTTATGGACCAGTAGTTTTCCGTGCTGCCAAATTGGTTTAGACATTTTTTAGGGGCACTACTTCTTGAACTTAGAGTCATGTTACTACAGTTTTTTTTCCTTTTTTCTCGTGACAGAACTTGCTGGCGAAACAAAACATCGTATGCGTGTCACAGAAAGCATAAGAAACCTTACAACAAGAACAGACCAAGAGCTGGTTATCCAATCTCTATACCAGCTTGATGTTGAAAGACCCGTTTGTCTCCACTGTGCTGTAGAAAACCATGACCATGTGCCGCTCTCTCCCTGCCTCAGGCTTCAGCCACCGTCACTATCCCCAAGGAGCACCATCGCTTCGTCATCGGCAAGAACGGAGAGAAGCTGCAGGAGCTGGAGCTGAAGACGGCCACCAAAATCAACATCCCGCGGCCTGATGACCCCAGCAACCAGATCAAGATCACTGGCACCAAGGAGGGCATCGAGAAGGCCCGGCACGAGATCCTGCTCATCTCTGCAGAACAGGTAAAACGTCCTCACCGATGCCCCATGCCCTCTAAACGGCACCTGGAAGAGGGCCTCTTCTGTGACCGAACATGGTCATCCCAGTGGACTGATCATACTCAGTGCACTTGCAAAAGCTCTATGGATAGTTTTAGGAAATCCCCATTCCTGTTTACCAGGATGGGTCCTGCTAGCTGCACCCCCATTCTTTTGCCAGTTCAGACTCCCTGAATTGTTTGCCCAGGCTTCAGAAACTTTCATAGTCCTTGAAAGGTCATCAGCAAGCGAGACTGAGTTCAATGGTTGATTGTTGGTGCAGGGTGGGCAAAGTGAGGGGTTGTGACTCACGTGGATGAAAAGGGGTGAGTGCAAGCAGAACAGATTTGTGCTGTATTTGTGAATGCATGTTTAAGCTGAGGTCTCCTGGGCTGACCCGACCTGTCCATGTAGAACTTTCTGAGACTGGACCAGATCATGGCTCATGCTCATGCCGTTTCCGTTCTCCAGCTTCTCTTCTTCCGGATTGTTTTAAGACTTCCGTCTTCCTCTTCTCATCAGCTCACGCGCCCTACGTTCTTGCCTTCGTGTTGTGGTAACGTCTTTGCCTTTCCCCACCCCGCTGTTCCAGGACAAGCGGGCTGTGGAGCGCCTCAGCCTGGAGAAGGCCTTCCACCCCTTCATCGCAGGCGCCTACAACAAAACGGTGCAGGAGATCAGCATGGAGACGGGTGCCCGCATCAACATCCCCCCGCCCAGCGTCAACAAGGACGAGATCATCATCACCGGGGAGAAGGAGCCCGTCGCGCAGGCTATCGCTCGCATTCGCGCCATCTACGAGGACAAGGTACACGCAGGCTACTGGCCGCTACCTCTAATATCTAAAGGGGGAGCGCAGTCCCCATTTCTTAGACCGGTTTTTGCATCTCAGTTACAAAATAAATTCAGCGACGGTATAGAAAAGGTTGACATATTCTGAATTAAGTCCAAAATCATGAACTTTGTGAAAGTATTGTGCGTTGCGAGAATTCCAATGTGATGCGGACCTTCCTGCTCGCTAGTCCCTATGATGACTAATGCTAATGCGATGTACAAGCGAATATCTGAAATGCTAGCATCTAGCATCTGAAATTTATAGTAAGAGGTAACCCTAATAAGATGAAATAAGTTTAGAAAATAGAAATGTCTTATTACACATCTACCCACTTTGCAATCCATAAGTAAGTCTTGGCTTTCGGACAATGACTGGTGGGAATAAGATGTGGATATACATGCACCTCCAGCGTGCCTGCCTGCAGAAGTGTTCATTGTTTGACAAGTTAAGAGTGTAACCATGTTTGAGCAGGGGTAGCATCCACTGGGAAGGGGGCACGTCTCTCACTGATGTTATTGCGTGTAGAAAATGAGAGAGCCCAGTCCAACACAGTCCCATGCTTCCCCATAGCAATTCTATGGCACTCGGGGACTCCCAAACCAGGGTTCACAGCAGTGATGTTTGGATCAAGGATTTCAGCCTGTTCCTTGGGAGTCCCTTGGCAGTCCCACATAAGTTGCCTGTTATTTGGGGGGGGGGGGGGGGAATTGTGCTTAGGTTTGCAAGTTAATTCAAACCTCGATTTTCCCTGCCCGCGAGCAGAAGCGAAAGACGACGACGATCTCGGTGGAGGTGAAGAAGTCCCAGCACAAGTACATCATCGGGCCGAAGGGGAACACGCTGCAGGAGATCCTGGAGACCACGGGGGTGTCCGTGGAGATGCCGCCGCTGGACTCCGGCTCCGAGACCATCATCCTGCGAGGCGAGCCCGACAAGCTGGGCCCGGCACTCACGCAGGTGTACGCCAAGGTGAGGGGGGCAGCAGGAGGGAGAGGGGGGTGCGCAGCTTCCCATCTGGGTGTCGGATGTCGCATCTGGGACTGGAACACTCCGTAGGTTCCAGCTTTTTGAATGTCTCTGCCACTTCTCTTCTTGAAGGGTCCTAAAGCACTTTACATATAATAAAGGACTCAGTTCAGTCTCCACTGACGTGCAGCCTCCACCCATGTTACATAGAGCTACCATGTAGTGGTCTGCCCTGCTGCACAGCAGATCAGGTAAAGAACTGAGAAATTACTTCAATTACTCATTTAGTGGGGAATAGTGACATTGTTAACATTAACTCCTGACAACACTCTATGGGACCATCCTTGAAGGGCAAAACAAGCTTTTTTTTTTATAAAGTAGCTAGCATCATCTTTGACATCTAAACATCTTCTCTAAACTCCTTCAAATCCAGTCTCCAAGCCTTCTTCTTTAGAAGAGCCTTTACTGAAGTGGTTCCATTCTTCACCCCTCTGCTTTTCTTGGTACCACCATCCACGGTCTCCTCTGTATTATGTATTCTTTTTTTTATTGTTGTGGTCATTCTGTAAAGCGCTTTGAGAAGCCACCTTTAAAGGCGCTATATAAAATAACGTTTATTATTATCATTATCATCTAGAACTTCCAAAAGTCATTTTTTTCCCAGTAAATCTAAATACAATCAGATTAAGAGGAAGATCCCACAAATATAGGAGTACAAATGTGAGTGTGTGTGTGTGTGACCCTGTGCAGGCAAAGAGTGTGATGGTGGCTGAAGTAACTGCTCCAGCTTGGCTTCATCGCTTCATCATCGGTAAGAAAGGACAGAACATCGGACGCATCACCCAGCAGCTGCCCAAGGTGAGAGGAAGCCTTCGGACCCCAGATCCCACTCTAGCCCCATCCAGCACAAGACCGGCAGCAGCTCTCCAGCTCTTTCATCAGTGTATAACGTTGGCGAAACTGATCCTTGACAAGCGGGTAGGGTGGCATGGAGGTCTGCAGGTCCTGTGGGAGAGTGAGAGGCAGGGAGAGAGAAATGATCAGCACAGGGGTCTGCTGCCCACTTTACCTCTCAAAACATTTTGTCAGGGCTAAAATGTACAGTGCTGATACGACTTAAAACATATCAAGTGTCTTAATAGTTAAATGGTAATGGAGAATAAAAGGTTACGTTTTTCACACTTGTACTGGTGCTGTCATGTCAAGAAAAGAAACCTAAATTGGTCGAATGACAAATTGTGAGTATGAAACAGTGCTTCCTGCGTTGTTCTCATTATTAAGAGAGGCTGTGGTCTGTGTGTGTATGTGGTGACAGGTCCACATTGAGTTCACAGACGGAGATGAAAAAATCACACTGGAGGGCCCTACGGAGGAGGTGGAACAAGCACAAACTCAGATCCAGGACATCATTAAAGATCTGGTCAGTGTAATTGCTCTGACTTCTCTTGGATGTTTGTTTTCTTGGGGTTGGGGGGGGGGGCGCAGAGGTTTGGAGAAAGGCAAAGGAGTTCTTGCAGAAAATGTGTGGACAGTAGGCAGCTCACATCTTGAACGTGGTTGCACCGTCTGTAGTGGGACTTCCAGCCCTGGTACTGCAGGGTGGTTGGTGTGTCTGCAAGTTTGCTGCGTCTCTTTAAAGCAGCAATACCTGAGGATCTAGCAGAAGCTCCAGTTACACCAGTAACTAGCTGATTAAGCTTAAGAGCCGAAGTGGTATAAAAACATGAAGTCACACTGGCCCTGCAGGACCAAGGTTGGTCAGCTGTGTTCCAGAGGGTTCAAAGCTTGTCAAAATGTGAACAGTGAGAATAGTTAAGATGTCACGTAGCAGTATTTGGTGGTGTATATCTCCATATTTCTTGGAACACCACTGTTGGCTGTTAATGCCGATAAACTAGAATGCCTGTGTATTTGCAAGGGGAAATTTTTTCTGATCTTTTAAATACTGCTGTGGTAGAAGTTGACTTGACCTTACTCTCTCTCTCCCCCCCCAGCTGGTTAGGATGGACTATACAGAGGTCACCATTGACCAGCGCTTCCACAGGCACCTTATCGGCAAGAACGGGGCCAACAGTGAGTGTGGACCAAAGGATGCATGACCCCTACCTGCCTGCCTCGGTTTTTTCACGGTCTTTGTCCGACTCCCCGTGTCTGGTTCTCTCCCTCCCCGTCTTCCACTTCCGCCCTTCTCTCTCTCCCTTTCTGACTCCTTCTCGCTGCCAGCGGGTGGGCGTCCGTCTCCGTGACCGTCAGTACAGTACGTCCATCAGCATGTCCGTCTGTCCGCGTCTCCCTTCCTGTTCTGACCTAGCCAGTGGCAAGGAGTGCAAAGGTAAATAACCAGTGGGTTCCTGTCCCCCCCCCTCCCTCCTCGTCGCAGTTAACCGCATCAAGGAGCAGTACAAGGTGTCGGTGCGGATCCCCCAGGACAGCGAGCGCAGCGGGCTAGTGCGCATCGAGGGCGACCCCCAGGGGGTGCAGCTGGCACGCCGCGAGCTCATGGAGATGGCGGCCCGGATGGTGAGGACAGGACGTGACCGGCCTTGGGATTTAATAAGAGGGATCAAGGGGGAAAAAAGTTTGCTTTCTGTCAGTTCTGTGCCCTGATTTATCAGTCTGCTTTTCTTAGTTGATTTATCTTTGTCTGTGTTTACTATGTACACGCCTGCTTATCAATGTCGATCTTCTCCACTCTGTCTTTCTGTTGTTTTTATCAACCGCATGTCGGAAGTCATGCTGAAATGTTTTTCTTGTGCCAGGATAGGGTAATAAATGCCTTCTTAAGGACTTTTAGATTTGTATCTCTTTGTGTGAGAGCAAAATGCAAAACCTCCAGGGAGCTGTGAAAGCTGGAAGAGCAAGCATTCAGCTTGCTGTGGCCTTTTATTGTTACTGTCTTGGAGAAGCCGGCTTCAGAAGTGACTGCTCCCAGCACGAGGCTTTGTACTGTACATAACTAGAGAATTAGACTGCTTTTCACTCGTGCTGTCCACTCAGATGCCTGGGATGTCTTTCCCAGGAGAACGAGCGCACCAAGGACCTGATCATCGAGCAGCGATTTCACCGCACCATCATCGGGCAGAAGGGGGAGAAGATAAAGGAAGTCCGGGACAAGTTCCCTGAGGTGACTGGCATGCTTGAGTTGAACATTCACAAGATGCTGTACAGGCGTGACTCTGCGGCACACCTGTACATGTCAGACGCTCTGGTGTTGTGTTTATGCCCCGGATACCCAGTGTGCACCAGGAGAACTCTAGTGATGTTGGCGTCCTCTAGTGTCTGCGGAGGTTGTCCAGGGGCTCAGGATCCTAACAACCTCCTTGTATCTGCGTTACATTTGTTCCACACAGGAAATAGGCCACCTGTCGTAGATTGCCATTCAGATGCTACGTCTTTCTCACCCCTCACCCACTCTCCACCTCTTCTCATGGCGTCCCCCCAGGTCATCATCAACTTCCCCGATCCATCGCAGAAGAGCGACATTGTGCAGCTGCGTGGGCCCAAGAACGAGGTGGAGAAGTGCTCCAAGTACCTGCAGAAGGTCATCATAGAGCTGGTACGGCTTGTGAACAACAAATAAAGAATGAGAGCAC